GGTGGGGGCTGGGGGCGGGCGCTGGGCCTCACAGGGCAGCTGCTCCGTGATGGTTGAGCCATTTGCCTCAGGGCAGGGGCCAGGCGTGGTCGTTCCACAGTTGCTGCTGTTTCCTGGGATCTGAGGGGACAAGCAGGGCGGGCTCAGGGCAGGCTCAGAGCCAGGGCGACTGGGTGATTCAGCAGGTTGGAGGGCAGCGGTCGGAGGCACCTCACCGTCACCTCCCTGGTGCCGCACCATCGCTTAATGAGGCTGCTGTTGGTAGCATTGCCGGTGGCACTGTTGGCAATCACCTTGGCATCTAGCTGCAGACAGAGGCGTCACAACCCTATGCTGGACTCTCAGGAACTTGCCCACTACAGGGCTCAGACCCTCCTCCTCTGTCCCCTCTGCCCAGGCCATGCCTGGACCCCCCTCCCCCCAGACTGCTTGGGCACAGGGGCCTCCAAGGGCGGCCGCTGTCCTCACCTGCACAATGAGGTGGGTGAGTGGCTGGGTCAGCACCTTGAGGATGTCGGGCGCCTGTGCCCCGGGCTGTAGGCTGGCCGCTTTCAGGGCCAGGCCACTGAGCTTCTCCAGTGGGCCCACAGCGCTCTCCAGCGGCAGCAGGATCAGCACCGTGAGCCAGTTGAAGATGCTGTGCACCGCTGAGCCGCCAAAGGCCCTGCAGCCACGTGGACACAGTGGTAGGCGGCCTTGCTGCCGCCTCGGCGCAGTCCTGCCCCCCGCGCCCTCCCGGCCACTCACCTCCGAAACTCGTCCCGGTTCCCCGACTGTGCCATAGACACCAGGGTGCTGGTGATGGATGTGCCCACGTTGACACCCATGATGATGGGCACAGACGCCGGGACGGTCAGCACTGCGGGGGCGCCACATCAGCCTTCTGTGCCCACCCACCCAGCACCGTCCCAGGACAGGAGGGGCACTCACACTTGGAGGCCACCATGCTGACCACAACGGAGGAGGCCGTGCTGGAGCTCTGCACGAGCACCGTGACCAGCACCCCGATGACTAGTCCGGCCACGGGGTTGGACAGCACCGCGTTGTCCTGGAAGATGTCTCCAGCCACTTTGCCTGTGCCGGGGAGAGGGGTGCACTGAGGCTGAGGAGGCCCGGCTGCCCGCCCCTCCCTGCCTGCCCAGTTGGTCACTCACTGCCCAGCAGCTGGAAGGCAGAGCTGAGAATGTCCAGGGAGCAGATGAAGAGGTAGAGGTTGCCCAGGAGCCCACAGGCCCTGAGGATGCCGATGAGCACCTGCAGGACCCTGCCGACCACGCTGAGCTCTGAGGACACAGGACAAGGCTTTTCTCAGCCAGCCCCACCCTCCCTGCCCTGCTAGTCCACCTGCTCGTCCCCCCAGGGCAGGGCCTGGGCCCCCTCCTCTGTTCCCTTGCAGAATAGCCAAGTGGACAGCCTGTGGGGCCTCCTGGAAGCCTCACTGCCAGCAGGAGGCAGGAAGAGGGTCAGGCTGGGCAGGGCAGGCAGCTGAGGGGAGGGACAAGGGTCCCCTGGGTGGTCGTCTTTCTGGTGGGTTCCCTGTTGGGGCAAACCCCGTCCCTGCTCTCTCCCCAGGGATGTTCTCCATGCTCAGACCCTAGGGTGTCAGAGCCCCATTGGGCCAGTTCCGTGGCACCTCTAGACCTACCTTTCCAGGACTGGCCAGTGTCCTTCAGCTGAGGGAGAGCCCAGGGGTCCACGTCCCCCTCTTCCAAGACGGGGGCAGAACTGGAGGTCCCTGCAGGGGTCAGGGTCAAGTAGAGCCAGGGACCTAGCTGGTTCCAGGACACCCCCAGGTGGGGGCAGAAGGGGGTGGGGGAGGACCGTGGCACCGGCGCTTGGGGTGAGGGACAGAAGCAGGAAGTGGGAGGGAAGGGGGCCACCAGCTCATCTGGCCCTGACCACAGTTGTCATGAGCCCCCTCCCCACCTCCCCAGAGCAATGGGTCAAGGGCTGGGCTCCTGATACCTGCATTTCCTAGTCTCTGGTCCACCAGGCCAACCGTGTCCAGAGTAGGGGGGTTGACCTGGCCACCAGTAAGAGAATTCGGCATGGATTTCGGGCAGGGACAGACCCAGGCCCAAGCCCGGATCTGGGGGGGAAAGGCAGGTCAGACACCTCTCCTCCCTCTGCCCTGCCAGGTCCCTGGGTCCCCTAACCTGAGATCTCAGAAGCTGTCCTCCCTTCCCACCCCCTGCTGGCCTTGATGACCCCCCCAGTCCTCAGCCCACAAGCAGATGACTACAGTGACCTCAGAAGGCTGTCAGGCAAGCCCTGTCCAGTTTCGGGGTGCCGAGTTGGGGTGGCCCTGGCTGCCGGCTCCCTCGCTGGTCCTGGCTGGAAGCAGGCCTGGTGGGTGGCCTGGGGCAGGGGGTGCTGAGGCACCAGCTGGAAGTGGCTGGGAACCTGGAACCCGGGGACCTCTTCTATCAGGTGTCATCAGGGCCATTGCAGATGACTTAGACTTTGGCATTTGATACCAAACCGTGCCTTCTCCTCTTGATAACAGCCTCACCCCCAGTGCAGGGGGCAGGGCAAGGAGCCAGGGTGCCCCACTCCACCTCAGGACTCCTCTCCTCAGCCCCATCTGCCTCCACTCTCTCCCCATCCCCAGGGCCCGATCCTGGGACACTCTCTGTCACCCCTTCCTCCTGCTTGCCCACAGGCCCGTCTCTTGTCCTGGGAGGGCCGGTGGTAAACCCTGGGCCTGGAGGTAACCCAGCCCTGGCCCCAGTGTCCCTGGGCCCCCTCCTGCTTCTCGAAGCTCCTACCTGTGTGGGTAGTGAGGGGGCACCTGCGGGGAGGAGACACAGGGCGGGAGCAGCCGCAGGTCAAAGATCCGCCGGGCGCACACATGACCTGCCCTGTGCTGAGCCCCATTAATGTTTACCCAGGAGCAAGGCCCTCAGGGGTACCCGTCAGAGCCCTAGGCACCTGCCTCGTCCAGGTCCCACTGCCACCCCAGGGTAGGTGCTCCAGGCCACGGGCATTGTGGGGCTGGAAACTGGCCCTTGGTGCTGGACTTCTACAAGCAGCTGCCCGCCCAGGACAGGGCCAAGTGCCCGCCTCTGGCGGGTCAGCCTGGGGACCCTTAGGGGCTCTGCCCGCAGCTCTGCAGACCTTATCTGGGCCTGTTTGTCCCTGCCCCGCAGATAGTGGGAGGGAAGCCCTTTGTACTAATCTGGCAGGGAGGCCAGACCCCTGAGGTTATCCGGTTTCGATCTGGGTTCAGGGTAGGGCTGGGCAGAGCTCCCTGCAGGCTGCGCTCCGGTGGTGGCCAGCAAGAATCCAGGGTGTCAGGCCCCCATCTGCACGTGTGGGGAGGGCGGCCCCCCAGGCCATAGTACTGCCCAAGCTCTCCACCCTGGACCAGGAGACCTGGCCCACCCCACTCTCCACACCTGAGCCCTACCGGCCCGATCGCTTGTGGGGTGCCTCTTCTTGGGGTCACTCCCTTTCCTGCTCCTTCGATGCTGGGAGGAACACCAGACCCTGCTGGGGCCAGCCCCTCCCCCTCAGGCCTGGTCTCCCCAGGGGGCCTGCTGGCTCCAGCACCCTGTCTACTGCCCACCAATCCCCGTGTGCCTGAGGGACTTTGCCCCAGGGAAGAGGAGGTTTCTGAGTGTCCTCTCAGCAAATTCCCTGATCCCTCCCGCTCCTGCCACCCACCACCCACGGCGGCCCGGCTGTCCCTCCCAGGGGCTGCTGAGTGACGGCTCCTTCCCCCGTGGGGGTGGTGAGAATATTGCGGCCTAACTTGCGGGGGTGTCTGTGCCCGTAACCTCCAGCACCTGCTGTGGCCACTGGGAGGCGGAAGGAAGCTGAGGGCCAGAGAAGGGCCCAGTGTGGCCTTGGCCCCCCTGAGCTGTGAGACCTCGGACAGGTCCCCACCCTCTCTGGGCCTAGAGCTGACCCTCTCCGTGGACACTTGTCGCAGCATTGACTTTATGCCCGCAGGGGACCCTCCCAGAGCAGCACCCGACACGTGGCGGAAGCTCAGCGAGCTTTGTTGAGTGAAGGGACTCCACGGGGCTGCCTTGCAGGCCAGGGAAGCAGGAGCGGCCCTCCCTCCACTCCCGGCTCAGACCTCTGGGACGTTCACAGGGGAGGAGAGACCCGCTCCGGCAGGACCAGGAGGGGCCTTGGCTGGGCCCCGGCATCCCCCACAAGAGCCACTCTCTGAGCTGAGTCTGGGTGTGGGCTGGGCCAGGGGACTCCAATAACACTGCCCCCCC